CGGGGGTTTAAGTGGAGAGAAAATGTTTTGAGAATGATGAGGGCAATGAACGTACAAATGCGCTTTACACAATTGATGTGTGTATGGATTGTGGTAAGAGTTGTATGAGCCCCTAATAAAATGATTTAAAAAAAAGAGAGAAGAGATACAAATATAAAATACAAAGTTAACTTTGAATTTAAAATATCAGTAACAACTCCCCAGTTTTCCAATGTATTTCCTAACCTATCTATTGAAAAAAGCCTACAGGCAACAGCATCCCAAGACTTTGGATTCTATATACCCGGGGGCAGGAATAAAAAGGGGCTTCAGAAAGTGCATGGGAAATGGAATGAAAAGTAATAGTTTTCCATGAGTTTTTGGAGGCCCCCTCAAATAGGTGCTCACCTGAATTTTCTTTCAACTTCACTATCTGGATATTTTTATAGCCGTTGAAATAAACAGCAGCTATGTATTCTGATAATACAAGCAGAACAGCCTACAACTGATTAACCATCTGCAAATAACAATTAAAAACTCTGGAAAACCCCCAAGCAGCTATCTGAACGCACTGAAGAACTATCAAAGCCAGAAGAAACTGGGGGGGTGGTAGGTTTCAACTCTTGGGAGGAAGGAACTTAATCTAGGTGAAATCCATGGTTTTACATCTGTTTCCCTAGAGAACACACCCCAGTCTACAGCCTGTTTCTCAAGCAGAAACCCACAATGCATTGGGCTTCAGAAGTCAAAGAACTGAACTTGGGGCTGCCAGAGTAGCTGAAAACATGGGGAGAATTTTTGAAAAGGGCCGAATCACAGAGGAAGGGGCCCTAACATCTGCAGACCGACAATGACTCAATCTTTCAAAAGCGTACACTGAATGACTACGTAAGCACAGCTGCAGTTTTAGGACACTCTGGGAAAAGCACAATAGCAAGAGGCCGGTGGATGGCAGCACTAGGTGTTATTCTGCTTCGACAAGGTGGAGAGGAGCACATGGACACAGAAGGCAATAATCAATCGGGGCTCACACACAGATGCTAGACAATGGAAAAGCTCAGCATAACAAGAACTCTCCCAACAGAAAAGAAGGGAGAAGGAGCCCTAGTGGTGTAGTGGTTATGCACTGGGCTGTGAACGCAGGGTCAGTGTGGGGAACAGAAGGAATTCTCTTAAATTGTCTCCCCAAAATATGTACCAAACTTAGCTGCTTAAGAGTGACTCTCGGCAAAAGTAGGTCAGAGGTTATTCTCCTTGACATTGGCCATCTGTAGTGGCTAGACCATTAGTCTGACTCACCCTGAATAAGACCCACTCCCTTCTGATAAGGATAATGGTGGTCTATTTACTTGCAGAGATACCAGAGAGGGCAAACCCGCCCAAGGGTGACCAAGGTTAGTTAGCCATTATCAGCTGTTTAGATCAAGCAGATACCACTGTCTATTCCACAACCAATGTGGGCACACCCCTAGGTGATTCCTCTCCTATTGATTGTATTGCCTATGCTAATATCCCTCCTGATGACTCAGGCTATTGTCCACTATCAGGGAACTTGCATGCTTCCCAGAATAGTAATGGTCTGCTTTATTATGTGAGACATTAGAGCGATCAAACTTGTTCTAGAATGAATTGTATTGCCCCTTTCTGTGATGTATGATTACGATACGTGGTTAGCAATAAATAACGAGGCTCCCTCGAGAGGGTGGCTGGCCAGAGGGTGGCCAGAAGGTGACTAAGGAGGATGAAGCAGCGGCTTCTTCTCTGACGGCTAAGCCCCCTCCACGAGGACCATCAAGCGGGGCGGAGGTGAGATATGCTACCATGAATTGCGTCTGACTCCATTACTTGACTCTATCCTTTAACTCTCATGCTCTCTATGACTTTACTATAATCTCTACTTATTATCGCTGTACAATTGCGCCTACCAAACCTGTGATGTTTTGTGGGGTTCCCTCTTACCCTTAACCCCACAGGTCAGCAGTTCGAAACCTCCAGCAACTCTGAAGGAAAAAGTCTGGGCTTTCTACTCTTGTAAACAGTTATACTCTCAGGAACCCACAGGGGGTCAATATGAGTCAGCACTGACTCGATGGAAGTGAGTTTGGTTTGAATTTTTTGGTGGTGGCTGTAATTCACTAATGGTTCCTCCAACAGACTCATGTGACGTGTAGCTTTCGACATGAAAATGCAGACAAACCCCCTCCCAGGGGGACAGACAACAGAAAAGTGCGTGAAGGGAGACATCAGTCACTGGAAGACATGAAAAAATAATAATTAAATTATCAAGGGTTCATGAGGGAGGGAGGGGAAAAAATGAGAAGTGGATACCAACGGCTCAAGTAAAAAGAAAATGTTTTGAAAATGATGACAACAAATGTACAAATGTGCTTGACACCATGGGTGAATGTATGAATTGTGATGAGTTGTACGAACCTCCAATAAAATGATTTTAAAAAAGAAAAGAAAATGCAAACAAAGACGCTGGAGCACCAGCCCCAGAGAAGCCAGAGATCAAGGAGCAAGAGATTTAAATGGAAGCCACCTCAGACTGGAGCCGTGCACAGGGGAGACCACTGCGTTTGGAAACAGAGGCTACTGGTCCTCTTGTAAAGATTCGCCCTCCTGACATGGGTGTGGGGTTTTGTTTCCATGGGTATTGTGGTAGTTACATAATTTTATGTCAACTTCATAGAGTGAAGGAATGGAGTGTAGTAGGTGTGGCCTTCTCATGAGGATTCTGGGAACTTCCTCTCTTTCTCCTAGGAGGAGGGCCACTCTATCTGCTTCACCTTCCTGTGGAGGAGATACTCAGAGAACCAGAGGAACCACATGGAGCCATGCTGATGGTGGCCAGAGCCCTGGAGATGCTTCCACTGCCAGTGGATTCATAAGACTTCACCCACTGGCCTGTGATCTTCCTGCATTCGACATCATTGTATGTGCTGCATGAGTCTGAAGAATAATTCATGGATTAATATGGGCTAATATCGGACTTACGGACTTGATCTGGAGTGGGCTGGAATGTTTTCTCAATATACAATTGCTCTTTGATATAAAGCTCTTTCTTATACATGATAACCCTTGATAATTTATTAATTATTATTTTTTCATGTCTTCCAGTGACTGATGTCTCCCTTCACGCACTTTTCTGTTGTCTGTCCCCGTGGGAGGGGGTTTGTCTGCATTTTCATGTCGAAAGCTACACGTCACATGAGTCTGTTGGAGGAACCATTAGTGAATTACAGCCACCACCAAAAAAATCAAACCAAACTCACTTCCATTTGTTTCTCCAGTCCACCCAGACTGACACAGGCACTCAAGCTGCTGCTTCCGAAGCACTCTTCAACGAAATCTTCCTGAAGACACTCATCTGAGAACGCTGTCACTCTGCATCAGCTAACGGGCTTTCTAGCTGCCAGGTATTTGTCTATTTTATATTATTGCTGACTAAACTTATAGTCAGCATTTCCACTTATAGCGTAACAATACAGCAAGTCATTCCAAAACCAGACGTGAACTGAATGACAAACCAAACCACTAACTGGCTTCAATGATCACACAGAGACTCTTCTCTGATGAAGCCTTTACATCTGGAGGTTTGACTAAGGTAAGGGCATCAGTTTGCAAATACAAGCATCACAAATTACTATAAACTCAAATTGCCAGGTGCCATAGAGTCCCAGCAATGGTGACCGTTCCAGCACAATGGGACTGGAACTGACAACTGCTGAGTCCTCCCGCTGAAAACAAGCTTGCTAAGCGGCCAGGCAGCGTTTCTGGCTGTCTCCTCAAACTTCAGCAGCCTGGTGTCAGATTAAACTCAACAAAATTTACTGGGTCCTGTGAGTGTGACTCCCAGCCTGTGAACAGCACTGCTCTCAGGCATGGTCACTGCCTACCTCTGGCCTTCTTATAGGTGAGAGAGAAATAAGCTTCTCTCTTGGTTACACCCCTTGGTTCCCCCAAAACACAAAGCAAACTAACTGCCATGGAGTCCATGGCAACTCACTGAGACCCTAAAAGACAGGGAGACCTGCCCCTGTGGGTTTGAGACTGTTTATGGGAGCAGAAAACTCACTGCCATCAAGTCAATGTGGACTCATAGCAACCCCCTGTGGATTCACGAGTCTATAATTGTTGATGGGAGTAGAAAGCCCAGTCAGTTCAACCTCTAAAAATCCCCCAGGACATTCCACTTCCAAATGTGGATGAATACTTATTCATATAAATTACGTAATACTTAAATAAATAAGCTTTGAGCTATAAGTATGTTCACGAATATATCTACAACTATGACTGAGGATATACACACCCTCACCCTAAGACTGGGTGCATATATGTACCCCACCATAAGACAGAAGATATATGTACATTTGCTCTGTAAACTATCAATTCACAAGAGAAGGTTTAAAGGGGGGGAGGGGCGCAGCGGGGGTTGGGGGCATGTAGGTTGGTTTTAAATAGTCCACCATTTCCTATGCCCTTCTCTTGTGTCCACTGAAATGATTTTTAAGTGAATTGCATTTCCTTTTTCCACCAATCCAAACTCATCAAGTTAGTAAACGCCTTCCAGGGAAACACTGTAGCTACATCAGGCCTTTCCGGTCTCCAGACGCACTTACCGGACTGAAAACACAAGAAAATACATGAAGTACTCATTTAGCTGAAATACATTTTCAGAGACTGGTGGCTTAAGCGCCTGACTGCAAAGCCAAGGGTCGGCGGTCAATACCTCGGAGAAAGACGAGGCAATGAGCGGGGCCTGCATGTTTTACAGGCTTGGCAATTGGCATGGCCTAGGAGCCCAGTTTTGCTGCTTGCAGCCAACGCTAAGCCCTGGCCTTTGGGCAGGTGGAGAGATAGGGCGGAGGATGAGTCCTGGGAGCTTGCTCACCTTCAGAACCGAGACTTCAAGCATCTTCCTGGGCGCCTCCCTCGAGGTCAGCGGGTTCGCCCCGAGAGAACACATGCAGGCCCGCCGCCGGCTCTCTCCGTCCCTACCGACAAGGAATGGACTTTGGGGGACGAAATGGAGTCCCTCCCGGGGCTGGGCGCGCGAGCGGGAGGGTTCCGCGTCGTGGCTGCGTTCGTTCGCTGCCGCCACCTCGACTCGGATCTCGCTCCAATTCACCGGCCCAGGGGACACGTGTGCGCCCAGCTCGGGGCCCCAAGGTCGTCCGGCCACGCCGCCCCCACCACGCACTCCCAAGTGACGAGCTCGGTCCTCCCTCGACGCCCCCACGAGCGCACGCGGGACCCAGGTCCCCTCACGCCGCCTGCGCCCACCTTCCCGGCAACTGCACGCGCAAGTGGCGAGCTCGGTCCTCCCTCGACGCCCCCACGAGCGCACGCGGGACCCAGGTCCCCTCACGCCGCCTGCGCCCACCTTCCCGGCAACTGCACGCGCACGCGCCCCGCCCCGCCCGGCAGCGAGTCCAGAAAGCACGTGGTGCGCCCAACGGCCAGGCAACGGCCAGGCCGCTCACAGCGCCCCCGTGCGGCCGGGCGGAGCAGGTGCTGGAGAGGGAGCACGTGGGACCTGCATTGGGCCATCTCAGTGGATGGGGCAAGTGTTTTTTATTGTTTTCTCCTCACAGACCAGACTTCGCCAAACATCCAGGATCTCCTCCCTTCTTACCACCTGGGAAAGGCAGATCGACTCTCTGGCCTCAAAATCAGCTCATGATTATTCTGTGCTGCCAGACTTACAGCCCAGCCTCTTTCTGGACCAGCTTCCAGAGCTCCCAGGCTGTTGTTGAACTGTTACTATGTACTTCGCCATTGATTCCAGCTCAAAGTAACCCTATGGGACTGAATAGAACGGCACCAGAGGGCTGCCAAGGCTAAGTTCCTGAGGGAAGCGCTGGTGGCGTAGCAGGTTACATGTTGGACTGCTAAGCACAAAGTCAGCTGTTCGGGACCACCACCGTTGCCACAGGAGAAAGAGGAAGCGTTCTACTCTAGTAAAGATGCAATTTCAGAAACCCACAGGGTTAGGGATCCAAAGTCACGGCATGGCCCTGAAAGGATCTTTACAGGAGCACATCCCCAGGACTGTAATCCTGCCGAGTGTCCCGGGGCTTAACCACTGCCATAGCAGGCCTGCTTGCTCACCGGTTGTCCTTTTTCTCTTCCAGTGAGCCCGTGCATAGCCGCCTGATGTAAATAAGAAATACTGCTTGATCTCACAGCAGGTTACGTCACCTGCATATGGCAGTCTGTTAGTGAGGCTTCTTCCAATCCTGATGGTCCGTTCCTGGTTTAAAAGCACTGTTGGAAGCATTAAAGAACTAGAGGAATGTTGTACCATGTTTCCCCGAAAATAAGGCTGTCTTATATTTATTTTTCCTCAAGACAACACACTATGGCTTATTTTCAGATGTCTTATTTTTATTAAGTATGGTACAGCAATCTGCATTGATTCAAATATAGCTGTCATCTTCTTCTGGAACAAGACCCACAGTGCTGAGTCAAAAGGCAGCCACGGCTTTCCTCCTTCCCCCTGAGGACACCCAATACCTAGGGAAGACTGACTTTCACTTTCTGTTTCCCTTTGTGCCTTAGCTTGCAGCACCCACAGAACGACCTGGACCTGACTGGGGGAGTTGACCTCTCCAGTCACCTCCAAGATAGCAGCTGTCACGATGGGGCTGAGGAGAAGGGCTGCCTGTCTTCCTGACCGCTCTGCGCTGGTGCACTGCAGAACCACGCCTGTCTCTATGTCTTATTTTCGGGAGATGGCTTACATTGTGCAAATGCTTAGAAATCCTGCTACGGCTTACTTTATGGGTATGTGTTATTTTGGGGGAAACACGGTATGTTTCATCGGTGCTACACTGCACCCTGACTGGCTCATCTCCTCCCCTTGACCCTTCTGTAAGGGGCTGTCCAGTTGCCTACGGATGGGCTTTGAGTCTCCACACCTCACTCCCCCTCACTCACAATGATACAATTTTTTTGTTCTTTGATGCCTGATACCAGATCCTATTGACATCTCATGATCACACAGGCTGGTGTGCTTCTTCCATGTGGGCTTTGTTGCTTCTCAGCTAGATGGCTGCTTGTTTATCTTCAAGCCTTTAAGACCCCAGACACTACGTTTTAATAGCGGAGCACCATCAGCTTTCTTCACCACATTTGCTTATGCACCCACTTTGTCTTCAGCGATCATGTCGGGAAGGTTAAGCATCATGGATGCTGCTTAATAGCACAGTGTTCTTGCGTTGAGGGAGTACTTGAGTAAAGGTCCAATGTCCATTTGCTACCTTAATACCTAACCTATAAATATATGTACATAGATCTATTTACCCATCATCAAATATAAATACATTTACATATGTACAAGCCTGTATTTAGACTTCTACAAATGCCTTTGCCTCCTACTTCTTTCCTCTATTTCCTTTTACTTCCCTCTTGTCCCACTATCAGGTTCAGCCTTCATTAGGGTTTCAGTAATTCCTTAATGAGATTTTTTTAATGACTTCTAGATTCTGTTGGGTCACCTTTCTTTGGACCAAATATAGATTTTGGTTCACTCAGTAGGCCAAGTAGCTGTCTTCCAAATTTCTTGGTAAAGGCTAGTAAGTACTTAACGTGTTGCATCAGTGTATTGAAACATCCCAATTGTTATTTTTGAATGAATTTTTTATTGTGAATTTACGTGGGGAATTTACATTTCAGACCATCAACTCTGCATTCAACAAGTCTAGCTACTCATCAACAACCCCTTTCACCACATTCTATCTCATCCCTCTTCCCCTGATTCCCTCTTATGAATCTCTCTCTTCCTTTTCACCCAGTCAGTGCCTGTCAACCTGTAGCCTGTCGGTTCATCTTTCCAACTTTGCCCTCCCTCCCTCCCTTGGGAACCTCCAAAGACTGTTCCCAGTGGTATACAAATGTTTGTCTTGTTTTTTCCTTATAGTAGTGGTCTCAGACAACATGTGTCCTTTTATGATTGACTAACTTTACTCAGGAGCCCTGGTGGCTTAGTGGTTTGGTGTTGGGTGGCTAACCACAAGGTCAGTAGTCCAAAACCACCAGCTTCTCCATGGGAGAAAGACCAGGCTTTCTACTCTGGTAAAGAGTTACAACCTCAGAAATCCACATGGGCAATTTTACCCAGTCCTATAGGGAGGCTATGAGTTGGAATTGACTCAATGGTAGTGATTTTAACTTTAATGTTCTCCAGGTCTATCCATGTCATGAGGTGCTTCATGGTTTCATCATTGTTTTTCAGTGATGCATAGTGTATTCTATTGCGTGTATGTACCAAAGTTTCTTTATCCAACCGTCTACTGTTGGGCATTTGGGCTGTTTCCAACTTCTTGTTCTTGTGAGCAGTGCTTCATTGAATATGGAAGTGCTTATGTCTGTTCACATTATTGTTCTTCTTCTGGGCATATGCCTAGCAGAGGTATTGATGGCTTACATGGAATTTCTATTGCCAGTTGTTTGAGGTAGCACCATATCACTTTCCAGAATGGTTATACATATCTCAATTGGCATTTCATCAGTTCCTGGAGCCTTGGGTTCATTTGTTTGTTTGTTTTTGCTTGTTTTCTTGCTAATGCCTTCAGTGCTGCGTGGACTTCTTCCTTTAATACTTTTGGAATCCTTGATCGCATTTTACCTCTTGAAATGGTTGGATGTCGACCAATTCTTTTTGGTATTGTGATTCTATATATTCTTTCCATCTTCTTTTGATGCTTCCGGCATCATTCAATGTTTTACCCACAGAATCTTTCAATATTGCAACTGGATACTTGGTTTTCTTCTTCATTTCTTTCAACTTGAGATATGGTGAGTGGCTTTCTAATCCAGGTCTTTACACGCTTCTTCCATTCACTTTAGCTACTCTGCATTCACGAGCAAGTCTCGGGATCTCTTCAGGCATCCTTTGACTTTTCTCTTTCCTGTCTTTCAAATTATTTACTTCTCGCAGTATATTTTTTTATTTTTCATTGTCATGAGAACATTTATAGTAGTCTTAAACAGAACAAGGGGAAAACAAGACTTATTATCCAGATGGGGAGACCGTTGGCATGGGATCAAAACGGAGTCCAAGGATTATTTGCTGATATACAGAACTTTAGAAAGGCTGTGGGAGATCATGGAAAACAGACATGACGCATAATGTTCTTCATCTGCTCTTCAGTGATTAGTGTTCAATATATCAGATTTATTCTTGAGATAGTCTCTAAATTCAGGCAGGATGCACTCAAGCTCAACGTTTGGCTCTTCTGAAAAAAATTTTTTTTGATGTTGTGAATTTGTTATTTTCTTCAGCTTCAACCTGAACTTGCTCAAGGTCTTTTTGGTTTCTTCCACAAATGTCCTCTGGCCTTATTTTGGTTGATGATGATGGAGAAGATCCTCCATCTTCTCTTCCCACAGAGGTAGTCTATTTGATTCCTGTGTATTTCATCTGGTGAGGTCCACGTGAGTGGTTACCATTTCTCCTGTTGAAAATGTCATTTGCAATGAAGTCGTCATTGGTCGTGCAGCACAATCCTATGACGCAATCTCTGCTTCGTTTCCATCCGCCGGGCCCGATCTTGCAGCGACTGCTCCTTCTTTGAGTCCAGGGTTCACCTCCCAATCACCAGTAATTACCCATGCATTTTGATGACCAGTTTGATCCATTTCAGATGGAAGAAGTTGGTACAATTCTTCAGTGTCTTCTTCACTGGCTTTAGTAGTTGGTATGTCAATTTGATTAACAGTTGCATTAATTGGGCTTCCTTGTAGGAGGAGTATAGATATGCTATCATAAGCAGCATTGTACTTTAAGACAGATCTCGACATTTCTGTTTGACAATGATAAGCTATTTCTCCTGCATTTGTCATTCCTGGCTTAGTAAGCCAAATGACAGTCCAATTCAAAATGGTCTTTAGCAGTCCATTCCAACTCACTAGTG